ACATGTATGACCATATGTTAGGGATGTTGCCGTTTTCTCCACTAGGTGACACAGTGACATGGTGAAAGAGATAGCACTCTCAAGAACTTCCAATTGGAAGAGTACATCTGAGAATCAGTCACCAGCATTGCAGCTAGCACTATAGATACCTTGAAGCTGGAATCTACCCAGTATTGAGTCCTGCTGTCTGCCAAGAGGAACATCATTTTGTAGTTCACAAAAAGGCACCGTGTAGGCTTGCAAGTTCTAAGAACAACTCAATGTGCTAACGGTTGTTTCTGAGCAAGGATTCTGGATCAACTAGGAGGCTATTATGCGCAGTCTTACACACAAACTTCAGAGCCAGATGTGTGTCAGAACAGCCTCCTGAGAGTGACAGGCCTAAAGACACGGTGCTCAAGGTGAGCACAACTTCCAGTGGGGGGTCACCCTTGGTTCATTTCTCTGGATCAGCAGGTAGATTCCCAGGTATGAGGGTCAGAACATTGGGGCCACTCATTTTTTTCTGAACTCTCACTTGGTACTGTCTGGATGTTTCCTCTTGCGACTGACTTTCAAATTTCTGGGATATCTTAAGCACTCCAAGGGGATCTAAGAAAACCCAAGACAGACCTGATGAGTTTAGGCCATTTCTAGATGAGTAAACCAAAGCTCCGAAACTTTCCAAACTCCTTAATAGTCTTTGAATCTCTCCTTATTTGGTCAAGAGTTTCCAATGATGTATGGGGCCTGATACCTCTGCCAGCTTTTGGGTTACCACCACAGCTTTTAAAAATTATTGTACAACAAAATTCCTCTGACAATAATAATAACAATATCAATAGTAACTAAGATGAAATTGATAGCTGGTAGCTATATTGGCTCCTGGCAATTTGTATAATCTTTATTTTCAAATTCTAAAAATTGTCCAGAGTGGGTATTATTATTACCCATTTTAACATATAGAAAATTGAGATTTAAAGGGTCTTATTTACTGGATAAAAAAAAATCCAATAGGAATTCCTGTATTTGAACTTAGGTCTGTTTGTTTCTCAAGACCTTGCCCATAAGTTCATGCTGACTCAACCAAGGGCTTCTTCCTACAACCTTCTACAATAATGTTTCAAGCCCTCTATTTTAACCTCTTCAAAATCACCTAAGCATTCCACTATGTAAATTGGCAAAGTTTTTGGAGTGTGATCTTATGATTTTATCGTTATGATTCACATGGGACCTGTCATGTCATAGTGCACTAGAATGTTTCAGTGCAAAGAGCCCTTGGAGGCCACTAAGCTCAGCTTGAAGCTCAGAAAACCAAGGACAAAGATCCTCTTTTGGTCTATTCCATCTCATCCAAATTTCACTATCTGAACTTTTATAGGATCATCTCCTCAGGGCAAGAACTTGGGTTTTTGTTCAGTTTTATAGATTATTCTATGTCTTAATACTACAAATTATAGATCATAGTAAAAATAAAAACAGCATTTTTACACCAAGATGAACACTGTGGTTGACTAGACCCTGAACAAACAACAGACTTCACTAAGGAGGTCTAATTGGTTCTGTTTTCACCTAATTGAAAAGTTGAAGAACAATGTCTGTTTTTTTGTTTTGTTTTGTTTTGTTTGTTTTGTTTTTAAGATCATACACACAGGCATACATTTATATGAGCAATTTTTTTTCACATTTTTGTGATAGCCAATGTGTGATGAATTGTCTATGGAATTATAACCTCATGAAAAGAGATCACCATTTTTCTGCTGAGACGACTTTAACTGCATTGGGTGTGAATGGTGCTGCTATAATAATTAAATCTAAAATCTTTCTTAATCCTACACTTTCCCTAGAGTAATGTTCAGCATTAGCCAAGGATGAAAATGCAAACAAGTACATGTATATTCAATAATAAAGCTTAATAGGTCAGAGAAGAAGTGGAATGAAATGAATGCCTAGTGCCTCCAGAGATAACTAATAGTAATTTGCCTTCCTAGTTACTTCTTTGACTTATGTTTACTGTGACTTAAATATATGCATCAGATTTTCCTTTATTAACAACCAAATCCATACCAAGCTTGTTGCATGGTGGGGGCAGGGTAGGGGGAGGTTGTTTAATGTCAATCACTGTGTAGATTGGCTGCCTATTTCCAGAATTGTACGTTGGAGTGCATTTCATCTCCATGTTAAAAATAATATAATGTTGATTGGAGAGTAAAATAACTGCTGAGTTCAGAACTCTGTGCTCTGACTCTGGATGTTCTACTTCTACCTGAAGGAGAGAAACTTGAAGACCACAAGCATATTTCTACATCTGGTCTTGAGATGCCCTTAGACATTTCCCAAGTCATCATGGATTACCTTCAGACTGTTCAGAAAATTAAAAGGAGAGGAGCAAAGGCATACAGAAACTTCTGCTTCTGATTACTTGTTAATAGTATTAATGAAGTTCATTATTTCCAACTGAGATATCTTTCCAAACTAATGGTGCCCCACATTATTTGTTTTGTGCTTCCATAAAGCACTTTCACATGCATTAGCTCCTGTTATGCTCACCACCACCCTCCTGTGACGGAACCAAAGTATTATCCCATTGAAGAGATGAGGGACACAGATGAACCTCAGAGCTGGTAAATTACCCCAGATATTGGGGTTTATGATTAGCCAGCAATTGAATCCCAATGTTTTGACTCCATGCTAATATGTTTTGTGAGGTTTTTGTTGTTGCTGTCAATTTTATTGAATATACCATCTTTTATAAGTTGTACCCTCTAGGAAAACCTTGTATACTCCCAATTCTGGCTGGAGATGATCTAGGTTCCATGTTTGCCTCCTTGATTTCTAGCTGTCTGTTCACAAGCAAGCCCGTTAATCTCTCTAAACCTCAGAGTCTCCATCTGAAAAATGCAGCTCTAACACCATCTCCTTCATAGAAGTATTGTGAGGACCAAGTTCCATGCTGCTGGTCAAATACTTAGGACTTCTTCTGTCTCTGAAAATTGACCCTCTAAATGCAGGAATTATTTACCATTTCTTTTGCTGACTACTTGAATATAAATTAACACATAGACATTCCCTAGCTGTATCGAGATACACACACACACACACACACACACACACACACACACACACACACACGGGAAGTAAAGCCATTTATAATAACAAGCATAGGTAGTTTTTAAATATTTAAGTTCTATAGCTTATGAGAATGATACAGTCTTCATCTCCCACAATGTGTTGTAAAGAATTATTTGTTCAGAGTCATAAGCCTGCAACTGCAAAAGAAATACCAAGATACACTTTTTCTCCTTCTCTAAGATCTTCAAAACATCCATTAGTCTCTTGAAGGACAGTCATAAATCCTGCAAATTTAGTTTATCTGAAAGCTACTCTAACAGTTGTCCTTCCCACCAATCATCCTTTATATCAGTCTTTGGTTTGCAGACCTCAGTGTAAACATTCTAGTGTTATGTAACTGAGCATGAAAGTGGGGGAGCTGTGCTTTTCTTGGAGAGTTATTGGATATCCACTCTGCCCTGACTCTCTTTTCAATATTTGAACATAACCTCTGAAGTAACTTTCCCCCTATTTATCAAATTAGAAGCTTCCTTTTCCCTTCTAGCTTCTCTTCTGGAAAAACACCCAAGTGGGATTACAGAGATGGAAATTTTAGGAATGGCTCTAGCACTAACTATTGATAGCTGTGTGAGCTTGAGCAAAGCAATTAACCTCTCTGAATCTTTCCTTCCTTGTCTGCAAAATGATCCCAGTAGACTCTATCATTTGTGGGAAGATGCTGTGAAGCACAGTGAGGTGAAAATGCTGCACCCCCTGCCCTCATGGGAATTACGGACTAGTGGGGAGAGATTCAGTGGAAAGCTGTGCTGTGATCCAGATGGAGCTGAGGGTTGGGCAGATGAAAAAAATATTCTTCCTGAGATGGGAGTTCTTTCTAGAAAGCTTTTGTAGAGGAAGTGGGATCATTGGGCTACAAAGGATAAATGAGATTTCCAGAGTTGAGGAAGAGATTTCTAGCCCTGGAACTGAGCCTGATGCAGAGCCTAGATGCAAGAAAAAGCAATATATGCATAGGAAATGGTCATTGGTCCAGAGAGGCTGAGACTGTCCCCTCTTGAAGCCTAAGGATGAGGTATAAAGTTGTATTTCGTAAATAAAAATATGAACACCAATAGGTCTTTAAAGACAGTGTAGCTGGAATTTTAAGATAATAAGCTATTCTTCCTGCTGTAGCTCACACTTGGAGATAGAGAGGATGCCACTGGAATTAATATCCCTATGGAAACAAAAGGCTCTGTGACTCCATAAACAATTTTGAAAGTGCTAGTTCATCACCAAAATCCAGGCCACTCATTTTTCAGGTGCCTTGCCTTAGGAGAGAAAGATTTCTTATCCACATCATGGGCTTACATCTCTCAGATCAAATTTTACAGGAAGAGATCGGTCCTATATCAGAAGGTTAATGACTAGCCATTTCTCTCCCAGCTCTTTTGTGGCCACCTAGCTACCCAGCAGCAGAGGGCACTGAAAGAGAGTCCAGGTTCACTGTGCCTTTTACCTCCATCATCCAGAGAGACCCAGCAGGCTTTGACAACAGCCTCTAGAGCTAGGGACTGTTATCATGCCCCTCTTCTTTCATGGGAGACTTCGAGCACCTTGTCCTGTAGAGATCCAATGCCACATCCCACATACACAGTGATTGATCAGTACATTTATTGTACTTTTAGTAGTAAAAATGTATAGAATCCAGTCATCTCTGGAGATCCTGAAATAGTATTTTCCCCTTGATTTAGGGGAAGGTAGAGAGGAAAGATATGTGCAAAGTATGGCATAAATATAAGAGCTTAAATATCTAATTAGGTGAAACAATCTTAGTTCCCTCTACACATTTGAAGGATTTGCAGCTGTCAGATTGTAGCTCCAATACTTTATTCTCATTGCAAGATGTATCCGAGGATGATTTAGAAAATATGTCTTCTAACTCAAACACCACTCTGATCTCTTTGTAGGATGCTTGAGGATGACCTGAAGTTGAGCAGTGATGAAGATGACCTTGAGCCTGTGAAGACCTTGACCACTCAGTGCACTGCCACTGAGCTCTACCAGGTAAGAAGAGCTTAGGGCTTTGTTTTGGGACTAAGTGGGGAGCAGGAGGAACTGGAATGGCTTTGACATGCTTTGACATGCACAAACTTCCCCATGCTTTATCTCTGGGCTTTGGAGAGAGGGAAAGAAGCAAAGATGAGCATAGTGTTCTGGAACAAGTCAAATCAGCTCAAACTTTCATTAAAGCTATAGTAAGGAGATGTAGAACTCTTTAAAACTGCTTTCAACCCCCTCCAATCTCTCTGTCTGTTCCATACACAAATGCTGGTCAGTAGTAAGCAATAGAGATTGTCTTACTCTCTCTTGGACTACTTATTGTCCTGGGTGAGGTATAACTTTCGTTTGGTGACTCTGGTGTGAGGCTTGGAGCCCATACTCATTTAGATATAAATGTGATGCTTCATTCACCTTTCCCAGATGCACCATTTCAGAATGCAGCTGAGAATCAATACGCAACATCTTGCCACTTAAATGAACCTTTAGGCAAAAAACATTTGGCAAAAACTTGCTGCTGCCCTTGTCTCCTTCTATTCCACACTTTAAGCATTTACAGTACTTTACCACCAAATGAGATGACAAATGCGTGTTTTCAGCATTTCAATGAGACTGGACTTTATGATTTGAAAAGGCCAAGTATCATTTATGACTCATGAGAATGGCAACCTAGTGTGTGGTGTCAATGATGCTTGCACATTTTCTCTTTGAGGGAGAACTGTCTTGAATGTGAGGTCCTTCTGGGTGTGCTTATCACCTCAGATGAGGAATGCAGAAGGATTGCCTTTCTTTAAATCCAGCACCTGATGAAGATCTTCCTACAGTGAAGTCTGCTACATTATAAAACAGACTGTTTAAAGGAATGCTTATGCACTGATATTTCAAGAGAGTTAACAAATATGGAATTCCATGTTGATTAAACATTTCATGAGGAAGAGCCTGCAAAGAAAAGCTTAGGAAAAATTATCAAGGTTCAGCTACTCTATTCTCATCTACAGTTGTTTACACACTAGAACTCCTACCATTCTGGTATACTTTAAAAATCAAATCCATCTTCAAAGTTATGTGGCCAAAACTTTCATCTACGTTACTTTCTCCACTTTCTTGTGCTTGAATTTTAATAATATGTAAAAAATAATTGCATCTTTGCAAGTTTAGTGCTTTACCAAGAACAACCACAGGGTAAGTGCAGACTACACAGTGCTGGCCTAAGCCAATTTCACAACTGTTTCCCAGGGGCTTGCTGTACATTTGCTGAATGCAAGCTGTCTCCCTCCTACTTGAGTTGGGCTTCATAGCAAATGTAAAATGCACACTTAATTTCCAAAAATTGTCATTTTTGCCTCACACATTTAATACGCCAATGACAGGAGCATCATATTTGTAAGTAAAACAGAAGCAAAAACGAAAACATTCCAGATCATTGATTTTGACAGATAAAAAGTTGCTTTTTAATCAAAATGTTTGAAGTAGAATTCAATAATAATTGAAAGTAGATTTTGCACATTGACTTCCTCTTCATGTAATTATATGAATGTAATCTGCTTTTTAACTTATAAAGTTATTTTCTGTATTTATCTTAAAATTTGCAAAGGGTCTGTTGACCTGAATCATCTGGGTTTTAGGGTATATTCACTGACTTTTTGTAAGTGCTGAGACTCTCAGATGATCAGGATTGGTGGGTTGGAACCTTTTTATGACATGCTGCCCCTAGTCATGATGTCTTCCTCAAAAAAGCTTAGATTCTCAGTGAAAATTGGATGGGGAGATTGAACTGGGGGCTCTAAGGTGAGGCAAAATGACAACTTATTCCCTCTAACTGAGTCCTAGGAGCAAGATGTAGGCACAAGGTTATAAACATTTGCAAATGAACCCTCCTTCTAGAGTCTGAAGATTAGTTACAAGACCTGGAAGGCTATAGACCAAAAGAGAATGCTTGTGCAGTAGTGGCAGCAGTAATACTAGCAATGTTTGCAGAGCTCTGCCTTTAGGATGCGTAATGTCCTTTTGCAAAAGTAAATGGGTTGACATAATTTTCTCTTTTTTGTGGCAAAATTCACTTAATGTAAAATTAACCATTTTAAAGTGTTCAATTCTGTGACAATACATTCACAAGGTTGTGCATCCATCCCAGTTCCAGAATTTTTCATCACTCCAAGTGGAAACTCCATATCCGTTAAACAGTTACTCCCCATTTCCCCCTCCCCCTAACCCCTTACAACTGCTAATCTACTTTTTGACTCTATGGATTTGTCTGTTTCATGTAACTGGAATCCTATAACATGTGACCTTTTTTGTCTGGCTTCTTTCACTCACCATAATGTTTTCTTGATTCTTCAATGTCATGTATCAGTACTTCATTTTGTTTTATGGCTAAGTAGCATTCCATTGTATGAATAAACCACATTTTCTTTATCTGCTCATCATTAGATGGACATTTTGATTGTTTCCAACTTTTGGCTACTGTGAGTAGTGCTACTGTGAAGATTTGTGTGCAAGTTTCATATAGACATGTTTTCTTTCTGGTGTGTACCTAGAAGTGGAATTGATGAGTCACACGGTAATTCTACAGTTAACTTATAGAGGAATCATCAAAATAATTTTTAGATAATACAGTGCCATGTAGATAACATAGTACTGTTCACTTGTCTTTGAATTGGGACAGTCATACCTCCAGCACCATCATAAGGAGGAGTATTGAGATTACCATTTTTAGAACCACTCTTGCTCTGTGCCAGGCACAAACTAGGTGTGGTGTCTCATTTGAACCTTACAGCAAACCTTAGCAGTAGGGTCGGGCCTCTTAGCTGAGCAAAAGAATTGCAGAGTCACTCCATTTGTGGCAGAATGATTGGGGAGAAAGCATACAGACAAATGCACTGGTCCATAAAACTGTGCTCAAGGGCCCAGACAACACTGCTGGTTTCAGCTGACATAATAGAAATGGCTCAGAACCCAGTGGCTGCATTCATGCAGACATAGTCCAATAAAAAAGCCATTTACTTTCTGGAGACGTCCCCAAATCATCTCATCCATAATCATCACACCTTGACTCATTTGACGAAACTCAGATTATCCAGGTGTAGTGAGTATACAGCAATCTTTTTCAAACAGTGTCTAAGAGCTTATACTGTGGGCCTAGAGCATAAACATCCCCAAGAGAATACGTTTCAAATACATGTATGAAAATGAAATACAGGATCAAGTTGTGTCGGCTTCTAAACTGGCATTTGGGTACCAAGTATCTTACAATCAGAACAGCCTCCCCTTTTTTGCCACTTCCACCTTCCACAGCAGTATTAGCCATGCTGAGTCAGGTGACAGGTTGTGTGCATAAACACAAGCAGAGCAAGTAGAGTATGTTCAAATGCTAAATATTATTCCCTCAAATGGGAAAATGGAACATGAGTCCAGAATGGGGGAATTATAATATATAAATTAAAGATGCCAAATGGTCAGCCATAGAGACTCATGATCATAAGAAAACATTTTTAACAGAAGATTTTACCTTCGAATGACTCTTTAAAGTAAGAGATATATAATCATACATGTGCATGGCTTCAATGAAGAAGCAATAGTGATTGCAGACTGAAAATACCTGTTAAAACTTTGTATTTTCTCTCCAGTCCTCTACTGCATTTGACTTTCTTGGTTGGGACTATTTGGACAGCAGACATATCCATGCTGTGTTCTAAGGTGGTGGGACAATGCTGGGACAGTGTAGGAGAGTATGTGAGATTATAGCTATATAGTCACACAGACATGGCTTTTAATTCTAGCTCTGCCACTCTCAAACTGGTTGACCTTTTGATCTAAGTACCTACAAAATAGAGGTAAAAATAGGACGTTCTTCATTGGGTCATACTGGGGATTCAACGATTAGGTGAATCAATACAGGCAAAAGCACCTGACACTATGCTTAGCACATGGTAATTACTCACCACTTTACGTGATAATAATTATCATCATTATGAGTGCTACTAATGATCTAAAAAGCTTCATATTCTTTGAGATGCTACATATATTTACTTTCCCTTTTCTTGTAAGGAATGGGATGTTAAAGACAGCTGCTGGGTTATCTATCCTGTATATGGCAAACTTGAATGAAAATGTTCTGTCATTCTAAAGTTGATTAGCTGTGTGCCTGGCCATGAGTAATTTTAACTGTAGATATTAAAAACATAGTTTTTGGAATAAAGAAGCCTGGGGTTTAATCCCAGGCCTCAAATACTAGCTATATTGCATTGAGAAAGTTGTTTAACATCTCTAAGTCTCATATCTCTTACCAGTAGACTGGAATAAACCAGCCTTGTCTGACTCATAGGAGTATTGTAAGGATCAAGTGAAGACAGTGTATAAGAAAATGCTTTGAACTACACAATAGGTGGTTACTCTTCCTTGTGGTCCTTTTAAACATTAACTGGCAGCCCTCTCTTTAGGATCCATAGGGAAATAGACACAGCCCTTCATTTTGGCCTAGGTATCCATAGGGATCTGCTAGGAACTGCGTTGCATGTCTTAACTGGCCCCCAAAGGCAGCCATTGGATATGAATGACCTTAACTTTCCTCTAAGCCCTGACAACTTTTAAACTAGAGATCCCAGGAAGAAAGGTTAGGTTGCCAATGATCTGCACCAAGTCCTCCAGGAAATTATGTGTCTCTAAAAGAGTTTTTCTTCCAAGGATTGGCATGGGTGGAGAGTTGATTCATACCCTTCTATTGCAGTTCTTACCATCTCTTTCTGAGCTCATGTTATGCCCTAGAGAAAGGCTTGAAGGCTCTTCTAGGATGCTGTACTCATCTTGGCTCTCTCTCAGGAGCTATCCCTGAATGGGAGATAAATAACTATTTGAAGTTGACATTGGACTTTGCAAACATCCAGAACAGTGTTGGAATTAGACGTAGTGCTATGTACTTAGTGTCTGAATAAACATATGTGGTGCAATGTATTTTTTAAGTTTGATATCAATGGCATGGTTGAGATTTGGGGGCCACACGGTGCCCA